CTTTTTATATCTAGTCTCTACATGCTGTATTGATACTGTAAGTGTTGGAGCGGCAACACAAGGGAAGAAACATGCCGTCTACTTTTTGCATCATTTATTTGGTTTGACTTGATCTGCTGTGGAGACAGGTGAATTTGTTTAACTGCTTCTCAATGGAAGAACAGCTTGTAGGACATTCTCTTTTATTCTTTTATATTTCCTCCTTTTTCTTTACAAATGAATCATTTGTATCTTCATTTTGAATCGTTAACATAGAATAACTGGATATGCTACACCAGGCAGCTGCACTGCTAGTAGGAAGTAGTCTTTTCTTTGCATATTTTGCATATGCATGTGAAAGTAACACGCATATCTGCTCTGCTGAGGCGGTGGTTATGGTAGCGTCTGTTGGAATTCTATGTGGACCGTTATAGGAAAGCTATTCTTTTCATTTGTCATTGTAGTTTACACGGAGAGAAAAAACTACAAACCTGTAAGATAAAAGAAGAAAAACGTACATTGTTATCATACCGTGGGGTTATTTTTATTTTTATAAGCTAGTGTTTTTAAATGGCCCTGGTTTACAGAACTGTAAATAGACCTTTCCATTTTCTTTTTCTTACCTTTTTACCTGACTTAATCCTGGCAAATATGCCCTAATGCATCAACATTAACAGGTGCCAAGACACTCACCTTTCATTTTCTAAACTATCTTTTGTTTTTATGCATATCACTTCATGTTCTACCGAACAGTGTTTTGTTTGTTTGTTTCCAGAAATTATCCTACAGACTGTACATTGAGGTAAATTACATAAAAAATGTAGAATAAAGATAGTTTTTCATAATTTTCTTGTTTTTTCTTTTTACTACTGTGATATAATTATTTACCTCAGGTTCACCTTGTGTCAGGATGTTTTTACACAAAGGGGCCCTATTATGGGTACTTTCAGGTTCATATTTGTATTTTGTGCCTCTACTGTGACATGTCTCCATGCTTTAATGTTCAAAAGGTTCTTTATTTTTCTCATACTCCCTGTGCTGCAGCACCTCTTTTCACCCTCTGTCTGAAACCAGAGCCCAGTCTGCTCTGATTGGTTAGCTGGCCGGCTCTGTTTTGATTGGTCAACCGCTAAAAAAATCTCCTGCCCTTTAGAAAACCCCACACAATGTGTTTGAGCGCTAGGGGGGAGACCAATTACATGCACAAAAACCTTAACACACTAAAGGGAAACCCCCCAAAAGCATAAGAGCCTCTTTAATTGCTGATAGCTTTGTTAATAACAATTAAATCAAAAAGTGGACTGTATTCAATTACACAGAAAACCTCTTATGGGTGGCCAAGCCTTTTTTGATTGTGGGCCATGCATTAAAAAAAATTGCAGTCACGGGCGAACAAAAGTAAATGCATAGTTTTCAACCAGTTCTTAATAATTGTTTCTAGACCATAACACCTAAATATTCAGATGTTACTATCAAACAGGCATGGTAAAATGGGTTTGTGCCAATCGGAAGACTTCACAAAATGTAGTTGACATCTAGTGTTTGAACTAGGATGTGCAATGTACATCGATACCACAACTTATTATAAATATGCTGAACTGCACTGTATTACAGTGTATACAGTATTTAGTATATTCATTTGAGAAATGTTGAAAGAGTTAACAATATTTTGTAAATAGCAATGCTGTCCAAAATATAAATTTAGTATAGTATATTGTCTGATAAATATAAAAATGTAAATTGGATGGTAATCTACATGCGAAAAATATAAATGTATATTGGTATACAAATCAACTGCTTATTGTGATAAATGTCTTCACGATCAGAGGTTCAAACTCAAATACTGAATTTTGAGTTACTTAACTTGAGTTTTCCATTTTATGATTATCTTTACCTCTACTTCCTCATATTTTGGAAGCCAGTATTGTAATTCAAATAATTCAAATTCTAAATACAAAATATAAATCCAATAAATGATGCTGTATTTGTATGGACTTAGTGAGATATTTAGTAATGAATTGGATATTCTAAATAGTAATTACTTTTATTGTTCATGTTTATTTTATGTTGGTATTTATGTACACAACTAGCTTTAGCATGCCAGACTCTTTTATTTTTACACTGTATATTGTTGCTTTTAACTAAGTAAAAAATAATATAAACAGCATTTTGAGTTAACAAGGTACAAATGAACAAGATCTATCAGTAGACCAACACATATCCATAGCTAATACATCATTAATGGAAAATGTGAGAGACAGGAGGTCAATGAGGGCACACAGCTCATTTTGACCTTGAGGTTGATCGTCATCATGGATCTAGAAAGAGTAGAAACAGTAAAGAAGACAAAGGGGTGGAGGCTGTAGAAAGTTCTACAAGGTGATGTTTCCATTGGCGTAAGACTTATGCAATGATGGCAGACGTGCATGTCATGGTGGTTCACACACGCAATAATAAGTTCAAGAGCAGTAAATACAAACCGCTGTAACTCAATACACATTCATGTTGCGCAGCCAAACGCTGTTCAAACCCTAAGAATCGTTCCTCTATTTACCAGATGGGTCTGAACGCTGGCGGTGTTTTCACTTTGTCAGTCTGTCTGTGTCATCATGGCAACATGTGCGAGAACTACCACAGTGGTGGAAAATAACTAAATGCATTTACTCAAGTATTATACTCAAGTAAACTTTTGAGCTACTTGGACTTGAGTATTTTCATTTTCTGCTATATTTGAAAGGCACTGGTTATGTTTACTCCACTGCATTAATTGTATAACTGCAGATTCAGAATAATAATACATCAAATAACAAATCAATTATGATGTAATGCAGATTTAAGATACAACTTGTATCTATTGGGGTAATATTATACCAACAAAATAAGTATGAAAAGTAATTCAAAGATCTCCAACTCTTCACTTCAGTGCATAATGATTATAATGTAGTCATATAATTCACATTATTCTTTATAGTGAGTACTTTTCGTATATGTTTAAGCCAATACTATTATACATGTGTAAAAATGTGACTTTCCAAGTCTTGAAGTGAGACTATTTGGTTAAAAGTAGCCACTTTAGTCACAAATACAGGATAGTACTATGCTGTAATGTAGTATACAGCAGTAGCAAAAAGCATTCAAGTCAGCAAACCGACCACAGGGTCTGTCTGTCACAAAGCAATATCCAGCTAAAGTTTGATTAGGGACATTTTATTGCCCATGAACTTCACTTAGAATTGCTCATCTTGTACAATACTACAAAGTGTTTGTACATTTCTAAAGCGTAATAAAAAACCTGATAAGAGAACATTCAGAAGCAGCAGAGCTTTTAAATCGAGGACATTAAGCCACTGTCTGTCTGTTAATCATTCACTTTTTTATTAAACCACCAGCTGCAGGAGGCAATGGGAATGTTGTCGTCAAGTAGAAGAAGCATTATGGGCAGCACATGGGTACAGAAGTAGCAGCATTGGGATGGACAAAAGACCAGTTAAACATAGGCCGGCAAAGCATTCACATAATGGAGGGATAATAATCTTGTGTTCAGCAGAGGATGGGAGGAAAAGAAGATAAAACGTGTGTATAACAGAATATTCAGTCGTGATGCTTCTCCCCAGTGTTTCCTGTTGTGCGTTTTTTTAATTGTCTCCATGCTTCTTGTTATCCTGTCAGGCACTGATTCTGTAAAGCACAATGTCACAATCTGATCTCATTCATTGCTGTATCTCCGGAGTGATTGTCCCAGCAGAGCAGGAGCGGCCCGCTGCATAGGAGCACTTTCAAGTAAACAATAAACAACACAGCTGCAAACAATGCAGACGTACTCTATTTCTGGTTATGCAACCGAGACGACCTTCGTAGCCAAGCAGATGGAGAGCCCGGGCTGTTTGTCCATGTGTGCTGTGTTCAGGAGCTGTTACAGACACATTGGATTACAGGTGGAAACAGCGACCACCAGTGGATTCAAACTGCAACTGAATATTTAAAATAATTCAGCTTTGAGGACACTGTGTTTGCCTGTAGGGTGGTCAGAAAACTGCCAACCAACAGTTATGTTAATGAACAGGCCTGAAAGTGGAATTAAAGTAATTTTTGTTAGAGAGTTAAACATCTACGCCTCTACATATATTAAGTAAACTGAATTTACTCTACATTAAGACATAATGTACTTTTAGGAAACATTTCAAGCACAAATAGCCTACAGTATCTCATCACTAATTCCTGTCTTCATGGGGTAAAACAATTAGGGCAAGAAAGTACAAAAGAAAGAAAATACTAATAACATAAAAAATACTTTAAGAAATAGTTTGACATTTACACTTATTTACTTTTTTGCCAAGAATTCCGTGAGAAGATTGAGACCACGTATTCTAAATTTGAAGATGGTGCAAGGAGTGTTAGCTTAGTTTAGCATGTAGACTAAAGATTATTAATTACTACTCCAGGAGGGATGTGATAGTTCAAGAAAAAAGTTGTTTAAGACTAATGAGAAATTAATAGGCTTCATATATGGCAGAGTAGTAGTGTGTTTTTTATTAGCTTGTGGGCAGAGCCAGGCTTGCTAGCTAGCTGTTTCCAGTTGTTATGCTAGGCTAAGCTAACCGACTGTAGCTTCATATTTGAACAGAACATAATGGTGGTATCAATCTTCTTGTCTAATTCTCAAAAATAAGACATCTTAGTGTATTTCCCACAATGTCAAACTATTCCTTGATTGTGTGTTCTTTAAAGTGTGAAAGAAACAAACATATATGGGTACAGTGTTTCTAAGATAAAATGAAATCAATATAAATATATCTCTTTAATAGCAGCCAACATTTGTGAAGAATATACTTAAAACGTCAAACTGAATTAAATCAGGAATTATTAAACATGGATTAAAATCCACAATGTGTGGGGAGCCAAAACAAGGAAAGTCTCTTTCAAATTCACTCCTGTCAACAGCCTTTATCAAACCAAAGGGCTATGTTTTGTAGACACACAAAAAAACACATTCACACACATAAACAGTGGAAAAGCATAGCTTTGTATCATTCATGGACATGTTTAATGTCGAGGTTACTTTTTGTGACGTTGATGATGCTCAACATGTTAGATGAGGTCATTAATACTGTGCAATTATCAAGCTTGATTATGCGTAAAATTGGCAAAAAAAAGACACAACCTTCCCACAAATAGGTGCCGTGTTGGCACTTTCACACCCTATCCGTTTCCCCCCCCCTCCCCATTTCATTAAACTGTGGTGAATAGTGTCGGCGTCATTAATCCCATATGAACGTGACGTCAAAGGATGCAGAAACATGAAAGAGACGAGGAGAAAGAGTGACTGACTAGGACAAATTTGCTTGTGGATGGCTGCAGTTTAGCATTTTTCAAAAAAACAAATATACATACAGTACAAATATATCTGTCAATTTATAATACAGTGATTTAAAAAAATTCATAATCATCTCTTAAATAAATTGCTTTTCATTGCACTTTGTTAAAATAATTAATTATATGATTTCTCTTAAAGGCAATAGTGTGATTTTTTTAAAGGTGAAAAAGATAGTGTACCATAAGCCTGATTTAGGATAATAGTAAAAATAACAAGATCTGTAATATACATACTGTATCTGTAAAAGACCCTCACCTCCTCATTTACATGAATGGATGTTCGTCTCCATATATGTAGCATGTCCTTTTTGATATGACACGTGCGCCCCTGCGCACACCTTTGTGTACATGCTTGTGCATGCTCTTATGCCAGTTTATGTCATATCATGTCTCCACGCATACATATATACATACAATATTATAAAATAAATAAATACAGGATAACATTCTTGGTTCGTGGTTTTTAACGGTTTTCCTTCAAAGCGGTTTTTGGTTCAGTCTTTGACCAATCTCTGCTTGTTTGGGTTTGAGTCCTTGCTGATGGAATCAACAGTCGACTGAGCCTCCCTGAAAGATGCACGGGTGGGGGAGTTGCCTTTGTTTGGGGATTGTGACTGTTTGAATACGTGTGTGTAGCAAAACAGTCTGTGTCCAGTGTAAGAAGGGGGGACCAAAGTCTTTGGCCTGAGAAGAAAATACAGCGAGTGTTGCGTTTTGTTGTGTGTTTCAGGCATAGGAACTGAGTTCGCATGCACTCTGTCATCTTTTAGTCAGCGCTATGAAAGTGTCAGATTGTCCCAAAAAGAAGCTCAGTCGCAGGTACTATCTGAGTGCACCCCCTGTGAGAGGGTGAGTACAGCAGGGATTCTGACAGCGTTCAGGTAGGGGGCGTTCAGGGGGCGCAGCACCCGTCCTCCCCACTTGTCCCTCCATGAAAGGGTCTCACTGACTGACTGGGGGCTACTGGTTGGAGCAGAACCCTCACTCCACCCGCCTCTACTTCCCCACTTTCCCTCATCACCTACGCCACAATGCCGCGCGTGTCCACGAGACAGGGTGGAGGGTCTGGGTCTCCACCGGGCTCGGCGGGGGCTAGATGGGTCCCTCGTTGTGGGCGGTGTGGTTACTCCTGTTGAGACCCACACAGTTCTGCTGCTGTTGGTTGAGCAGGTGGGACGTCTCATTGGCGACGGTTACGGACACGGCAGGGGTGGTGCTGGTGGTGCTGGTGGTGCTGGTGGTGCTGGCGGTGCTGGTGACAACGACGGTGGGTGTCTCCACTCCGTCGTGGAGCTCCGTCAGTGTTAGCTCTATCTTAGTGAACTCACTGTCTGTTGACTGTGGCGTTTTGTCCATCCGGGACGCCATTACAGCGTTCTGGTACTGCTGGCGTGTTACCTAGGATCACAAGGTCAAATGTCATAGCAGTTGTGATGGTAGGTACTCCCGGAGCAACCTGCCTGACGACCTCACACTTAGAAAATCGTAATTTTTTAAATATATATATGAAAACGTTTTTATATTATATATTTGTTTGCATATGTGTATTTATTTCTGTATTCAAGTTCCTTTGTATAAAATACAAAAGTATATTATGCCAAAATATAATAATGTATACAGTATACTATATTATAAGCATAGCTAGTTATTAAAATGTCATAGTATTAAATATCATAAGAAAGTCACGGTATATACAGTACTTTGATATATTATTCAAAAGAAATTGTGAAGCTGTCATAAAACATAGTCATCATATATTATTCCAAGAACAGTCAGTATTGTATGTCTTACACAAGATATAGTATTGTACATTATGAACTTTTTGGAAAAGTCATAATATATGATGTCATAAAAAGGTATGTCAAAATGTCGTAATTAAGTCAAGCATAAAAAAGTAATAGTTTAGTATACGTTAAATTTATCATAGAGTGGAATGTAAAAGTAATTCTAAAGTATATAATGAAAAAGTTTAAAAAATAAGTCATAGTTTAGTAAAAAGCCTGTAAGAGTCTTCTATTCCAGCATTTATGTTTACACATTTGAGTCTCAGTGGGCCGGTCTTGTTCATCTGTGTGTGTTCTCACCTTTATATACTGCAGGTCTGTGCGCGCTCTGACTGAGTAGTCGGGTACGTAGATCTGCAGGAAGGAGTTGAGCTGGTTGTTGCTGCTGCCGAGCGTCGGGGTGATGGCGTCGATACGGTCGCTTCTGTTCAGGGAGTCTGAGTGGTTGAGTCCAAACGGCCGCGGAGGAGATTTATTTTCTGTGAGGAGGTGATGAGAGAACAGAATTGATTTAAACCAGGAAATGTAAAAGTATCTCAGAAAATATATTCTCAACCTTGGCTGTCGTATATGTTTCGTTCACAACTAAACATGGATGGTTAAAGGTCCCATGTTATAGCCATTTCTACTGATCATAATTCCATTGTTGAGGTCTACTAGAATTTACATTGTTCCAAAATCACATTGGTTTCTCAAACAGCATCTCTGTATAGTATGTATTCACTCTCTGTCCTTAACGGCTTTTTGGAGCTCCTGCCCCCCTCTCTCCCTATGAGCCCACTGTGCTCTGATTGGTCAGCTCGCTCACTCTGTTCTGATGAGTCCACCACCGTTACAGCGGAACATCAGTGTTTATGTGTTACAATGGCGTTTGTTAGCAACCAGAAAATGACACCACACCAGTAATGACTAACAGATGAGAATGCTGCGTGGGGTCTGGGTGCCGTGTTGGCGGGACGTTGCGGAGCTCGCTGCTCCGCCCTTTGAGGCTCGAGGAGCGGACAGTGTGAGCTGGATTACTTGTGTCGTTCCCTGGTTGCTGTGTGGGGTCTGCGAGACAGCGAGACAGCGAGACACTGCGGAGATCCGCGGAGCCGTGGCGTGTGTGCTCAGGCTGAGTTCCACGGAGCCACGGCTGAGAAAAGATAAGGCTGAGTGAGTGCGTCACTATGACCAGGAAGAAAAAAATGGAAAAAGAAAATCTCAAACGAGGCGTTCTGGGGCAGCATAGACATGTATTTTCTGTGTTAGAGTTTTACTCGCTACAGGGTGTACTTTGGAGGGTTTGCAGACCGTTTACATGCATAAAAGCTACATAACACACGAAGGGGACGGGTAACAACCGGAAAGCATGTCATAGAGACCTTTAAGACGTGAAAACAAATCACCCAAAGCTATAGTCCATTCACAACAGAGAGTTCAATGTCAACAGTCTATCTTGCTCTGAAACTCATTATTAGGGTGCCTTTACTTCACATGTGTGTTGTCCCATCTATTGTAATTTCATTGTCCTCCTCCTGGTTGCCATATCCAGAGAAAATAGCTTGAAGCTTTATATGGCAAAGAGTTTGAAGTGGGGACTATCTACCGGCCCTAGGGGAACCATGGAGATAGAAACAAATAATTGGTAAAAAATATCTTGTTTTGCGAGATCTTGCAATACTTTTGTGAGATCCTCGGCAAAACTTTTCATTTAGCTTCATATCTTCGGTTCAATTCAAGCAACCAGAAACCAGAAACAACAACAAATGGAGCCGGTTAAATCGATTTTTACTTTGAGCTTGGATAAAATATAAAGATATAAACATCAGTGCTTGTATTTAGTCTCACGGGTTTCACTAAGTGAAGAACACCCCAATCAAGAAGAAACAACTCAGAGCGAGGGACATGCACGTCGCAAAGCATAGCCTACTCTGAGCTGAGTAACAAACAACAATGACTTTACAATCATAACAAGGTAACAACGAGCTACAGAAGTTCGTTTTATCAGAACAGTTAGAGGCACGCCTCACCCCGCCTAAAGATCAAGAATTGGTCACAATCTGCAGCTGGAGGAGGGAGGAGTGCTAGTCTACAAAACTGCAAAACCCCGAAAAATATAATACTTCAAAAATTCAATAATTTCATTTTTTTAAGATGTAGTCTGGCTTATCAAAATTCTTAATACATCAATGGTTATGGTTGTTTGTTTTACAGTATAACACTTATTTTTGAATAAATATGCTTTTAAATATTTTTCAGGCTTTTTTATTAAACTTTTTTTAATTATTTTGACATTTTACCAATGTATCGCACCAAACCTTTCACACATCCAATATGCATTGTGCTCCATACTACATCAGGGTTTCCAAACACGGCCCGGGGCCAAAATTGTACTTCTTTGACTAACGATTTCTGCGCTTTTATCCACACTGACAGCAGTTGGCTCTGGATGGCAATGTTGGGTCAGTCCGGTCAGCAGTCCACCAAATGGTGGGGTCCATATTTCAGGACTATTAGATGAATACTACAACGGCATTTAGTATAGTTAACTGTGGTCCAAGCGATAAGTCCTGGTGTGCCCAGGTTCTACCACGGATCCACTATTGCGGTAAGCAAATGGTTGTAAATTTCCGGTTGTTGTTGTCATCCTCCGGGTATCCCGGTGGTGCCTGTTCTGTTGCTGATACTTCATTATCTTAACTTAATCGATCGTTTTAAAACTCTTTGTCACGGCAACTGCCTGAACGTTGTACATCACACGTTACTACAGCTTAAGCACTTCACAAACTCCTCCTTCTCTAGGACTGTAACTCCACAGTTGCCTACTACTTTTCAGGGTTTGCTAACGGTAGCCTACTTTAGCTGAAGCTAGCCATTGGCTCTTCCCGCAACCCTCGGTGCTATTTGCTTGGCCTAATGTCCTCATGTTTGGTTACTTCCTACCTTCCTTTACGTACCTGATACATGTGTTAATGGAGTATATGTAGGCTTGGCGGGGGGAATCTAGCCATAGAAGCCCGGCTCCGCCTCTTAGAGAAATAACTCAGCTAATCAAAGTAAAGCCCAAATGTTTAGCCGTGCGGACCGGCAATAAAGGTAGCTCCTCTAGCCGTCCCCCGGCAACTCCCGAGCAGCAGGGGAGATTTGGGTGTACTGTTCAGAAGGGGCATAACGCGAACCCGCAAGGTCCCACCAACCCGTTCACGGTATCTAACAGAATATTCCCCCCCCCACTAAGCGAGACCCCGCTGAGAAGCAACTCTGGTTATTGGGTAAGCTCCTATTATGAGACCCGTGAATTAGAGAAACCGAAGCCGTCCACAGTCACATGCAATTCCGGGGGCAGAGCGGGCGAGTTGAGCGCATTTAAGGACTGCTGGCAAAATAACGTAAATACAGTAAGGATTGTTATTCAACGTCGGTGGTAATGATGTAGTTTACGCCAATCAAGAATTGCACCAAACCTTAAATGTTGGAGTCGGTGGTGTAGTTATGCTAAACAATGTCCGGGACAGCCGTAATCTTTCTCTGGTCCCCCCCCCCCCCCCTCCCCAATCCTGATCAATGATGACATGTTATAGCGCATGTCATCATTTCGCGCTGTAGTTTCTTGGTGGGCCCAGCAAACAAATGGTGNCTTCAGACAACAACAAACCACAGTGAACAATAGTCAAACATGAACGAAGATAAAACAAAATGTCCCATCCACGGGGCCAACCAAAGCGGTCTCATCAGCTTCTTCGTTCATGTTTGACTATTGTTCACTGTGGTTTGTTGTTGTCTGAAGTCATGAACGTTAGTTGGTGCTCCAGTATAATTGGTACCCCTGAAACTCATCCAGTGAGAAACGTTCCGTGGTGCAAAAATAAGTGCGATTAAAATGCGTTAATTTTTTTAACGCGTTAATTTTTGTGTAATTAATTAATCTTGATTAACGCGTTAAAGTCCCGGCCCTAATATATATATATATTATTATTATTATCCAGTGTTTCCCACATAATTTGATTCTATTTGTAGTGGCACCGCACTCCCCCCCCATGCAAATTAGCCATAATCTCATTAAATATGCGCATATTTTAATACATTTCAGGAACACAATTCTGAACATACTGATATTCTGTACAAACTGTGAAGTCCAGTGAGACAAATGTAACATTTGTGATATTGGGCTATATAAATAAACATTGATTGATTGATTGATCTCTCATACTGATCATACAGTCAATAACTTTGTTGTTATTAGCATCTGGTTAGCTAGCTATGCTAACGAATAAAATAAGCTTTTTCTACAACCAGTGAGGTAAAGGCACATCTTTATATGATCATTATAGTTATAAAATACTATATGACAGTAAAAAAAGTTGTTATTAATAAACAAAAATACAGTTTAAAGGGGAGTAACTTGTAAAATATCCATAAAGAAAAAGAAAATCTGCTTGCAGTTCTGTTTCATATGGGTGTTGAGAGATGTATCCATAGATCTCTTAATGTTGCTCTCAAAGTGCACCAGATTGATGCTTTTAACTTCAATATTTAAAAAAAATCTTCCCGGTGGAGCA